TATCTATTACATTGGAGTTTGAGAAAACATAGCTTACATACAACATACATCCTTGAGGATAGAGTTGCCAAAAGAAAGGTAATTGACTTCCTGTTTTAACAATAAGAGCAGGTAATGGAGAGATTAGGTTTAGCTTATTATATAACAAAACAGACAGCTATAATTTCGAGGTCACTAGGTATGTAAACTGCATGTCTAATATACTTACGTCATCTTTTTCATCCACACTTTAGCAGTTTTTAGAACACATAGATTGTTCTAGTTGTCGACCACGGAATCCCCGTTTAATTACATTTTCGTAGTTCAAGTTGCTAATCGTGTTCAGCACACTGGTCCACAAAATAGAAAACCGGAGACGACAATATGCTTGGACAGCGCCTTCAATGATAAAACACGATGATATATACCTAATGAATGGTATATCTATGCATTTCGCAATGCATGAAAACTTACGATAAAAAAAGTTGAAATTGAGAGCCAGTTTCCCATTTTTGATTAATGTTGGATTTTCAACGTCCCGTAACTCCGACTCAAATACCTTTGAAGAAGTTAAAATTCCCCATGGTGGTCTACCGCTTCATCGTGACGCAGGGGTAACTCTGAGTTTCGAACCGTGAGGTACAGCGCAACTCTATCCTCCAGCAAATCTCCCGTGCTGTGAAGGAGTTCGACGTTTCCGGCTTCCCGGCTGCCCAGCTAAAAGTTGGCCATGCCAAAAGCATCACCGTCTTGCTGATTGAGTCGCTAGGTGGTTCGCTGATCCACATAAGGTCAGCGACTACCTGTGGTGAAAGCTTGGAGGGATGTTTGGGGGAAAATTCTATTTCCCGTATAGCGTGCAACAAAAAAACAAGCCTTGCACACTGGATCACACATACGGCGTCGGATGTCATTATGATCAGTGTCAGGTAGGCACAGGACGCCATGGTTTTCGACCAAAAGCACACGTCAACGACTCGCCATGGAGATTGTCTCATGCTCTGCACCTACAATGCCAGGACAGTTGGAGCTGAAGGGCGCATCATAGTGCCTAATCGCCACGTAGGAAACAAAGTAGGAAGACGGACGTGAGCAGCTGAGTGATGGCACACTCATAATTCGCGGTGAGAAACTTCCATCACGGAACGTTGAGCGTTGAATTTGTTGTAAACCCATCTGTTGTCCATATTGTCGATTCGCATGAGATCCTATCATCTCGCTTGGTTATCCTTCGACTCCATCTGCATCAGAACATCACTATCATCAAATACTATTCTCCAACATCAGCTGACGATTCGCAAATTGATGCTTTTTATGAGGATTTGGAGGAAGTCATCCGCAAAGAGAAGTCCTTCTACAAATTCGTCGTGGG